ATCAGCATTGCTAACGCGGTCTTTGGGTCGAAACCACCCATTTCTGCTGATGTTCTAACCAAGGCATTCCAAGTGGACGAGAAGGTTATTGACTATCTTCGATCAATCCCAGTTATGGTATTACAATTAGAAAAAAAAATGTGGGCATTTCTGTACCAACCAAATCAAACCCACCAAATTGGTTGGTTTGTTAAAAATAAACAGAGATGTATCATCATCTGCTCAGAATCCTAATCTATATAGCATAAATAAGTGGGTACGTTGATGATGTCCTTTATTATTTATTTATTTATTTTTTTTGGTTGCAAATGTTTCTCTTTCAATATACTAGTCGCTGCATGAGTTTGTGAACTCTCGTCCAGGCTCTCTCTCTCTCGCAATTAATTTAAAGAAAATGGTGCTCGTAATTGTCACAAACGAACATGAGGTCTCATCTATAATTTCATCGAAGATGCATATACATGTGTATATATATATACAATGATACTACTATTTGGAAAGATGGATCAGAGGCAGTATAGAACTGCATGTCATGTCCTTGCAAGTTTCAATTTTCTACAAGGTTTAGGCAGTAAGATTTTGAAAGGGTGAGGTCCGTCCCTCCTTGGCGTACTCCTTACATAAAATTAATAAAACCAAATCAAAGACTTTCTTGTTGAAAATTTGGAAGTAGAACTCTACTTGCTAAAATGCACCTAAATGATCCATATCAGTATTGGTTCTTACAAACTACTGTGCTGTTGCTTTGACTCTTTGAAGCCAATTTCTGATAAGACTCCGACCAGAAAATTGTTGGGATACATGTATCCACTTCCGATATGCCCAACGATTTACTCGCTGAGTTTTGAAGTTTAACAAGTCTAAGGTTTGGGGTTTGAATCCCGCTGGATGTTCTTTGTGTCTAGTCTCCATTATCCTACAGTGACTTACCCGACCTGAGTAGGGAGGGGTCCTTCTAAGTTCTCGGAAATTAGTCGAGTTGTTGGGGGCCCTAAAAGTTTGTGCCAAAAAAAAAATAATAATAACTGTTGGGATACTTTAAGGTTTAAACATAGAGTTTTGAAATTTTATTTATCATTTTATGGAGTCAAAATAATTATGTTTCCATAAGATGGAGTTAGACCAAATTACATTATTATTTTTAAATATCACTTTTGTTTATATAGATATCACTCTTATTTAGGTATCATTTTTTGTCCAAATCATGTTATCAGGATGGTCTGAAAAAAAAGAAAAAAAAGAAAAGAAAGAAAGATACATGTGGGCATAAGAGTGGTACTTCGGTGTACAAGAGTGGTACCTCAAAATAAAAAGGATAATTTGAAAAAATGAACAATGTTTTTTCACACCCACATTAGGAGTGACCTCGGATCGGATTAGGCATCAATCCTAATCCGATCCAATCCTAACAGTTTGGAAATATCTGAATCCGCCATCGATCCGTTATACCATAGATCCGATGAATGATGGATTTGATATTGAGGTGCTTCTTAATTAATTGTCCAATATTATTTATTTTTTAACCATAACCTAACAGATAAAACTTCAATTTATCACCTTTAATTCATATATTTAAATGATCATTAACTAATACATTATTAGAGTCTATTGAATGATCATCAACTAATTTAACTAATTAATATATTCTTTGGATATATATATATATATATCACGGATCGGATCCGATACTTCTCGTGTATGCTTCGACCATGTATTTGATACTTTTCGAGGATCGAATCTGATACTTCTCACGTATAGTTAATTATATTTTTAAATTTTTTAACACTTATGCTTCGATCATGTATCCGATACTTCTCAGATATTTTGATTACATATCAAATATTTTTCAGAAAATTCAAAACACACTTTTAAATAAGTTTTGAACTTAAAATATAACTTTTTAAACAACAATATTATAGTATAATTGGTAAGAAAAATTAAAAATATATCATTAGGATACTTGTTTTATATTTTGTGAAACGATCTCCTATGTTATATTAGTGAATGCATTTAGATATATAATATTTTAAAAGTTAATTAAAAATTTTATATATATATATAAATACAGATGTTAAATCTTCCATTTGTTAATACAAATATCTTTTATCTTTTTACCAAAGGGCCAAATGGCCCATTGATACCGGCTCTTACTCTTCAAATAGGAAGGTACGTTTCAAAAAAAACAAAAAACAAAAAAACAAAAACATGTCTCTTTTAGTTTTATCTTATAATTACTTCTTTTTTTTTTTTTTTTTTTGTCTCAACATTTTCATACTTTTATACTTCTATTTTTAAATTCTGTTGTATAGCAATGCGGGTTCAGAATTTTGTACTTCCTAATTTACTGACCCTCTTTAAAAATAAAAAAAAATCACTATCTATTAAGTTAAAAACATAAATAGTTTTTACTATATATTTTTGAACTTATTGCAAATTAAGTAAAGAGAATAGTTTTTCAATAAAAATTATATTAATACTATATTAATATAATTATGTACGAATTCCTAATTTAAGACCTCAAATGGCATCAAGCTGACCCGGCGGGTACTATTATTGTTTTACCTTGTGATTCGAGCCTTTCGAGGTTCCTTGTGGAATCGAAGGCATCTGGTGAATTCTAGAATTGCTCCGCTTCTTTCCTCGTTTCTTTTTTTCTTTTTTTTTTTCTTTTCACTTCCACAAAGACATTTGGTAATTTGGTATCAATCTCTCAATCTAATATCAAAAAGATAATGCTGCTACAGTATGTACACACACACACACTCTTAAGTTTACAATAAATGATGGTTAGATAGTATTAGTCAATTTATTTACCAGAAAGAAAAATAGATGATATGTAGCTTGATGCACATTCTGGACTAAAATATGTATGTGTTTTTTTTGTCACGTAAAAAATAATAAAAATAAAAATAAAAATAAAAGTAGTATTACCTCCGTCCCGAATTAGATGTTGCATTTAGTATTTGTGATTAATAACAATACCAAATGCAACATCTAATTCGGGACAAAAGGAATAAATTTCTTTACTTACATATATCCACAAATGTTAGTAAGTGAGTGAAACCTTTAAAGAGATTATATCAAAAATCATCTGGTTATATCAAAAATCATCTGGTTGATTTGATCTTTCGTATCCTTGTTATCTACCAGTTGGATTAGTTGTGTTAACATATGCAATTTTTCATTAAGAAGCACCATTGCTTTTTGCATATCATCAATATTTTTCTATTTGAATGTTTGATGTATGTAGGGGACTAATGAGTAATGATCCAGATCAATTAGTACTAATAATCAATTAAGTATTGAATTTTCTGAAAAAAAAAAAAGCAACGGAATTGATCATATAAAATATTGAGTTCCAATCTAATTAAAGGAATCAGTCGCATTGCCAATAAATCAAAATGCATGCTTATGAATAAATCAAACTCTACCTACATATAATGGTGGATTTGACTTTGAATCTCTCAATAAACTTGGAACTAAGATTATTAATTTGGCCAGTTCAGACTTGTTTAGGATGTGTAAAATAATTCAACATAACGCATTATTTGGCGAATTTTTCTAACCCCTCCTCGATGGAACCTGCTTAATATTTTAATAATAAGTCTATATGCTAATATTTATAAATGGAATAATAACCTATATATATTTTACGATGGGAATTATTGACTAATGAGTTGAGAGCAACATCGTACCTCTTTTCCTGACATATGTATGTATAGGAGTATAATAAAAAGAAAGACAAGCAATTAGATAAACGGGACTACATAAAGGAGCTAAGTTACACGATCCTTTTCAGTAGGTGTCATTTTTATGTTTCGAGCGCGCTTCCACTCCGCACAAGCTCTTATTAGATTTCTCACTGTTTATGACTTAATTCAACCGCTCTCATCCTCTCGTTCTTGAATTCGTTCTCGCTTCTACTCCCGTTTTATGTGACTTAGCTAAGGACATGGCTACAACCACTCTTTTTTTTTTTTTTTTTTTTTTTCACTCAATTTAATAGGAAAAATGTAGGGGGAGTGATTTACACACTTATAAAATGTTTACATTGTCAATTGAAAAATAGGAGTTCAAATTTGGGCATAGTCATCTAGGAAGCAATGATACTTCTACAAGGTCAAATTACTCCTATCGTGTCCGTATCGGATACCGACACTCTTTGAATACTTACGAATATGTGTCCGATACTCCTTAAACATATCTATAATTTTAAATTATTTTTTTTTTAATTTTTAACATGTATCTATATATCTCAGATGCTTTGACCATGTTTGCAATGCTTCTCAAATATTTTAAAGATATTTCAAAACGCATTTTTAAATAAGTTTTGAACTTAAAATATATATTTTTTAACAAGAATATAATAATATAATTGGTAAAAAAAAAGTTAAAAATATATCAAATACTTATTTTATATTTTATGAAACGAATTCCTATATTATATTAATGAATACATTTAGATTCATAATATTTTAAAAAATTGATTAAAAAATAATTTTTTATATATACTTAAATAAATTTTTATATTTTTTATTGTCGTAGGCTTTAGGTAGAATGTACCCACTAAATGGTTGGTTTGCTTAAATAAGCAATATCCCATTCTGCACTAAAAAACATAGGATTGGTTAAGTACTTTTTGCTACAATGGTTTTCACATAACATAATTGTCTGAGTTCGTTAATTAAAACTCGCAATCATATTCCTTTAGCCTTTTTGTTCTTTTGAAAGAATATTCTTTGAGCATTGACTTGAACAATATATGAAAAATGATTTAAAGATGTTTAATTATCTATTTGTCGAAGTAAATTAATTAAAGTCATGATTATTAATATATGGAATCAAAACCAATGGTACAACTTTAAATTCAATTTAACCAACTAATTATAATTGATATACAAAAGTGGATGTTTTAGAAAAATATAAGTAGGTTAAAGTTTCGGCTATCAATTACGTTCCTAATATAAATCCTCAAAGAAAGAAGCTGAAACAATATATGAGGAAAAAAAAGACCACTTCAATACATTGAAATAGTCATTGTTTTGGAGATAAAACCTGTTGATGCAAGATTAGGAAAAATAAATGGTAGGTGGGTGCTAGTTGTTGAAGAACGAGTAGACCTGAGATTAAAAAAAAGAGTTAACCTATGACAAATGTAGCTTTAATTTGGATAACTTCGTAACCAACTGATTTTCCCAGAAAAAATAAAATAAAAAAAGTAAACAAAAAAACTTAATAACTAACAGAGTACCCTATATCTATAAATAGTCACCTCCCTATGCTAGATTTATCCAAGCAACCCTACAAAGAAGTTGAAAATGAGCAATCACTTCCTTGTAGCCGCAGCTATCTTTGCTTTTGCATTCTCACTAGCATATGCCTCTGACCCCGCCCCTCTTCAGGACTTTTGTGTTGCCATTAATGACCCCAATTCAGCTGGTATGTATGATATACATATATGCATATATTATCCCATTAGACCTAATTAGTCTTAATTTGTTTTTGCCTTTTCACATGCATGAATGCTCTTGTTTTTCTATGTGAAAGGGTGTAGTAGTCCACATTAATTGGTTTTCATTTCGTTATTTTCCAATTGGCATGTTCTATATTCTAATGGAGTTGGGTCATATATGATTGAAATACATAGTAGTCCTTCGTGTATGTGTGTTTCAATCACAACCTTTATTGTTGTATAATAGAGGATATATCTCGGTCCATTTTATTGATAAAGTTTACTTTTACTTTGGTTGCGCAGTGTTCGTGAATGGGAAGTTTTGCAGGAACCCGAAGCTGGCCACAGCCAATGATTTCTTCTTTCCAGGGTTGCAAATTGCTAAAAACACATCGAATCCAGTTGGGTCAGCAGTGACTCCAGTAACTGTTGATCAAATAGCAGGACTCAACACTCTTGGCATATCCGCAGCCCGAATTGACTTCGGAGTAAATGGCCTAAACCCACCCCACACGCATCCACGCGGATCTGAAATCTTTGTTGTCTTAGAAGGTACCATCTACGTTGGGTTCGTCACCTCCAACCCTAACAACACTCTCTTCACTAAGGTCTTGAATCCTGGTGATGTTTTTGTGTTCCCAATTGGTCTCATTCACTTCCAATTCAATGTTGGAAAGACTAATGCAGTAGCTTTTGCCGCCCTGAGCAGCCAAAACCCGGGAGTTATCACCATTGCTAACGCGGTCTTTGGGTCAAAACCACCCATTTCTCCGGATGTTCTAACCAAGGCATTCCGAGTGGACAAGAACGTTACTGACTATCTTCAATCCCAGTTCTGGTATTACAATTAGAAAAAAATGTGGGCATTTCTGTACCAACCAAATCGAACCCACCAAATGGTTTGCCAGCTAAAAATAAACAGATGTATCATCTGCTCAGAGTCCTAATCTATATAGCATAAATAAGTGGGTTGGAGATGTCCTTTTTTTGTTGTTGTTGCAAATGTCTCTCTTTCAATATACAAACCTCTGCATGAGTTTGTGAACTCTCCTCCAGGTTTTCTCTGTAAACTATAATTATTCGTGTTAAACCATTCATCACAAATAAACATGAATCCCATAATTTTAGAACTTCATAATTTTCACATATCTAAATAGTTAAATATAAATACCTCGATTCATGATAACAAACCTTGTTGAGATTAAATCCAACTTCTAGATCATTTAACCACAAACTAATCTGCAACTCTGATCAACAGGTAAAGGTGGAAACTGGTTTCTCTCTCTTGGCCTTTTGTTCACATAAAACTTTTACGTGTTGTATCATTAATTGTACATAATTGATGGAGTATATGCACTTTTATAAAGGTGATTCGAACCAAAATAAATTTTGGAGAGAGAGGACCAGTTTTCCTTATAGTAACATAATTCTACTTTCCATCAAAGTAAGGAATAAGAAAGGAAAACATTTCTCCAATAAGTAATTACCAAAAAGGTAATTATAAGTTGACCAAAAATAAATAATATTAATTGATATCTATTTACTTATCCACCAAGTAATATGTCATATGTCCAAATCATGTGGGCCACAATTAAATAAATAATCTTACATTCTCCCACTTGGCACATATGATAATTTCTGTAGTGGTTTAGTAAAATAGTCATTAATGTGCACCATAAATCAGATTAACTTATTAAATTGGTCATCATAAATACCATGGTAAATAAATTACCAATGCGAGTCATGGCGGTTATATATCCTTAAATGACACAGTCCCTTCCATGTACTATAACACTAGTAATCTATTCAACATAGTCTATAAAATGAGAAATATCAATAATGATCTAACAATAATGTCTTTTCCAAGACTATTCCTATTACCACTTATTAAAGCAATACGTACATGTACATTAATTAATAGGAAATATCATAAACACATTTAATCAGCGCAAAATATCAAATATATAAGCACTATTTAAGCAATCCACATTTAAAAAATAATCATCATTGACTACATTTAAGACCCATTCTTTCAACATGTTCTATAAATGTCTTGAATGGTAGTCCATTCATTAATGGATTGCAATCATAAGTTATGTACTTATAATTTCTATAGATATTCGTTGTTTCTAAATATTTTCTTTAATGATAAAGTATTTCAACTTTAGAATACCTATCATTTTTCATACAAGAAGATCAACAATTGCAGCATAAATTTTCAGCAATCTGAAAACGGTACCCATAACTTCAAGTCATGAAATAAATTCTGCAACCATAAATTATAATCTCAAAGCATGCTACAAATTAAAATTTCATAATAGACAAAGTAATCATAAATTACTTTGCACTTTTTCATAATATTGTTCATCCAATCAAATCTTTTAGAACTCTTTTAATATATGCTTTATGAGACAATTCTAAAAACAAATCAATGTGATCTATAATGAAATATTTCTATTCCTATCACATAGGATGCCTCATCCATATATTTCATTTCAAAGTTCTTAGAGATAACTTTTAGTTTCATATAATAAACTAAGATAACTACTAACAAATAAAATATCATCAATATATAGAATCAGAAATATAAACTTACTTCCACTAACCTTCTAGTATATACACTGATCAACAATGTTTTTCTTAAAATCAAAAGAAATAATGGTATCATTAAACTTAATATACCATTGTTAGGAAGTTTGTTTAAATTCATATATTGACATCTTAAGTTTACAGACCATGAATTCTTTACCCTCTAATATGAAGTCTTCAAGTTGTTTCATATGGACTTCCTCTTATAAATTCCTATTCATAAAAATTGTATTCACATCCATTTGATGTAACTCTAAATCATAATAAGCTACTAATGCTATGATATTTTAAAAAATTCCTTCTTAAATACTAGAGAGAAGATTTCTTTATAATCTCTTCATTCATCACACTAATCCATTTAATAAAATCATTACTGTTAATGGCTTGTGAATATGTAATCGGATCCGTATATATCTCACTATATATCAAAAACAGATTCTTACAGATATATCACATAGTCATCCGGAATAGCAGATCTCCTTTCTCTTTGAGATCGTCTTAATGTTATTCCTTATAATTCTTCTACAATCTATTCATTGGTGACAATCTCATTATAGAGTTATTGATCATTTAATTGTTCTTCGTGTTCCTTATAAGTTATGGGTAAATATATTTGTACCCAAACTTCTGAAATGATCAAATTCTTATTTTTATCACTCCCACTGATTTTACCATTCTTAATGAATCTGACATTACCGGTTTCAATAATTATCGTACTATGTTTCGGATAGTAAAACTTGTACAATTTAGATTACTTAATATCCACAACATTATGGGTAACGAGGAATTACTTAATATACTCCTAATCAATTCCATAAGAGTACGATTACGCCTTACAGCTACACGCTTCTGCTGTGGCATGTATAGCAAAGTGTATTGAACACAAATGGCATACATTTCAAGGAGTTTAACAAACGGTTAGAGTATTAACCTGTTTCATCATACTTTACATAATATTCACTACCTCTATATGACCTTATGATTTTCACTTTCTATCTAGTTGTTTTTCAACCTCATTTATGTATACTTCAAGAGTACCCACTGCTTGAGATTATTCATACAAAAAATAGATATATCCATAACATGAAAAATTAACTATAAAGGCGATAAAATACTTTTCTCTTCCAAAAGATGGAACATCAGAAAGTCTACAAATAATTTCAAGAAGCTATGTACTTATTGTGGCTCATTTCTTTGTGCGTTTCGTTTGTCTACCCTTAATACAATCTACACACACATCAAAATCAGTAAAGTTTAGATTCAGAAGAATCACATCTTTTACTAATTTTCCTAACATTTCACTAGATATTGACCTAGTCTTTTATGCCAAAGATAAATTTTCTATTAATTGAGTTACGCTTAATTCTAACATTATGATACAAGATCAAAAGGATTTTAATAAATAAACCATCAAATTTGAATTTACAGAAATCATCAACAATAATGCCATAACTCACAAATTATAATTTCTTAAATAAATATCATTACCAAATTTAAATGAAAAACCATTAACATAAAGTTTTTGAAATAAAATCAAATTATGGGAAATTGAATAAACATAAAAATTTTAAAACAATTTAAATAAAATCCATTGTCTAACATTAAACATAGTGTCACAATGGTTTCAACAAAACTTTTTCCCAATTATCATAAATAAGAAATTCTTATTTGAATTTGTGGTTTAGGCCATAAAAAACTCTTGCATCTATTAGAAACATAAATATTAGTACTTAAGTCAACCTATCATGTATTAAAAAGAATTTCAACAAGTAATTCGCAATATACAAAAGCCAAAAGCGTACTTTTCTTTTTCGAATCATTCTTTATATGTCATGTAATCTTTCTAAAAGTGTTCAATACATTAATGATACTTTTTCATTATTACATTACTTTCTTTTAGTATATTGACCTAAATATTTTAATTTTGGGTGTTGCTCACTTATTACCTTTTCTGACTTATTCCCAAATTTCTTTTTAACTTCTTGAGTCGTCAGATGAACATAATGATTACCTTGCTACTTAAGTTTTGTCTCCTCATAAATTAACATAATGGTCAATTAAATCACTTTCCACTTGTCTTAATAGTGTTAATTCGAAATGATCCATACTGAATAGACAAGAAATTGAGAATAAATTGAATAAGAAAATTCCCATTCACAATCATCCATAAGGTTCTCAATTTTGCAGCAACATTAGTTATCTAAAAATACGATCATACATGGTACGAGTATAACAAAAAATCCATAGTAGTTATATCAATTAATAATTTTCGTTTTTGATATTTATCTACAACGCGAAAATATTTTTATAATCAAATATTTCTTAGCACTATCACTATGAGGAACAATTATTCGCATAACCATAATGCTTAATCTGTTCGATCTCTCCCAAGCTTTATGGAGAATCTTTTCTTCCTCACTATTTTTATCAGTAATAACAGTAAGTTTCTCAATTTAAAATGTTAAATTAGGATTTAACACATCTAAATTTTGAACTCAACTTACTCATTTCATTATGAGAAGTTAGTCATATTGAGAATCAGAACAGATGTAGCATGCGCATTAAGGGATGTAATAAAACAAATATAATAAGATAAAATCTTAACAACAATAATGCTTTGAGTTAACAACACGTATGTATAACTTAAAAATATAAATACAATGTATAACTATAGTACCCCTTTGGGTGGCAACTATAAAATACTAATAATGATGCTTATATGTATTTATATGTGTACCTTTATTGGTGATGCATTATTTAATTAAACAAATAAGTTACCTTTGGATATCCTATATTTACCTAATAAAAAAAAATACATACGACCCTTTAATTTTTATTTAATCACTTGAAAATCAATTCCCTTTGAGGAATTATTTCTCATAATTAAATAAAATCAATATTCATGAATATCACAAAAAATTATAAGCATCATAATTCATGAAATATTGCAATTATGTTAACTACTAAAATTAATATTCATCAACTATTATGGTTAGGCCACTTTGGTAGCTACCAACCTTTACATAATATGAATATTAAATTAGATAGTAACTAATTTATGATTAATTATATCTATTACAAAAATTAATATCCATCAATCATTATGATTGGGCCACTTTAGTAACTACCAATCTTCACATAATATGAATATTAAATTAGACAGTAATTAATTCATCATTAAGTTATATTTACCACTAAAATTAATATTCATCGACCATTATGGTTAGGCCACTTTGGTAGCTACTAACCCACACATAATATG